ATATGGATGGGGCGAGGTCTGTTCTTTTCTGTCTCCAGTCAGTGTACCTGACTCAATTGTATACGCCAGGTCGTCCCAGACGGGTTCGGGGTGGCCTATATGACGGGCTTCGATGGTGCGCTCATTTAGTCACATCTCTCCGTCCAAACGCTAACTGGCTTCTCTTCAGACCGCCTGCAATATACTATCACCTCGAGGAAAGAAAGCCCGAACGCGCAGTTCTGCAAGGAGATCGCACGCGCCGCGGAAGACCTCTATGAGCTGCATGCGAAACTGAAGGAATCCTCGGGCAAGTCTCGGCTGTAGAAGATTAATGGACTAGAGGTCGTGTACCATAGAAATGATACTTGAAATCCTGGTATCCGGTGATAGACGCTGAAGGTGCAATCTCGGCAAGATATCGGTACCGTTCCCACTTATACGATGGCCAGACCTTGTCCACAACCATGACTTCTACGACCCCCGGAATCGCGATCCTAGGCGCTGGGATTTTTGCCAAGGAAGGTGCGTCGGGTCCCGATAATCCAGACTCTTGACCGCGATGCCAAACGAAGATCAGCCCATCTTCCGGCACTTTTGGCGCTGGGCAGCGACGCGCCGCCGCTGCACGCAGTGTACTCGCGCTCAGAGAAAACCGCGCACGAGTTCTCCGATGCCGTCGTCGAACTGGGCCTCCCCGCCCCCGCGATCTACCACGATGGGCCCGGGGACGCAGCGACGACCCTGGACGCGCTCCTCGCGCGGGCGGACATCACCGCCGTTATCGTCGTCCTCCCCATCACGGTCCAGCCGGCGATCATCCTCAAGGCGCTCGCGGCGGGGAAGCACGTCCTGAGCGAGAAACCCGTCGCGCCCGACGTCGCGGGCGGGATCAGCCTGATCAAGACGTACGATGAGAAGTATCGGAAGAATCTGGTGTGGCGCATTGCGGAGAATTGGGAGGCGGAGCCGGGGTTTAGGACTGTGGGCGAGCTCATCAAGGCGGGGAATATTGGGAAGGTCAATTTCTTCAAGGCGGTGGTGATGAACTTCATGGACATCGAGAACAAGTACTACAAGACACCGTGGCGCACGGTTCCGGATGTGCGTCTTCGAACGCCATATTCTTCGGACGGAAATTGACTCTCTGATTGTTTAGTATCAAGGTGGATTTTTGGTGAGTAAACAGTTACTGAACGAATAGAGGTTCTGAATCTCATGTTCAACTTTTAGCTCGATGGAGGTGTGGTATGTTTTTTTTCCTGCTGAGGTTCAAGTTTGGATTCAAAATTGACGGCGCGTCCAGCACACAGCCGGAGCCTTGCGCACCATGCTCCCCCAGCCTCTGACCCACCTCTCCGGGTTCGCCTCGCTGAACCACGAATATCTGAAACCGCACGATACAATCCACGCCGTCGCCAAGGCAGACTCCCACTTCCACGGCATCGTCGAGCTCTCCTTCGGCGCGCCCACCAAGTCCGTCCCGTCCTCGGACGCGTATGTCATCACAGGCTCGGAGGGTTGGATCAGCGTCAACTTCGCCAAAGTTGAGGGCAAGGGCCAGGTGCTCCGCATCCTCATCAAGCGCGTGGTCAAGGTCGAGGGCAAGCCGTCCGAGGAGGCGGAGGAGCTCGTCGATGTGCCGATGAAGGGTGTGGAGGCTGAATTTGCCAGCTTCTTTGACGCTATTGCGGGGAAAGAGACGTTGGACATCGGGGATCCGCGGGGGGCGTTGAATGACGTGGCGTTCATCCAGGCGGGGCTGAATAGCGGGGGAGAACTCGTGGATTTGGTCAAGTTGGTGTCTGAAGGGAAGTGAAGAATTAAGATGTTGTTGTATGATTAACGCGATTGAACGAGACGTCTTCAAATACTCCCATCAGTGCCCCAGCGTCGCAAGTATCAATGGCCAGGCTCCTTTCTTTCCTTTTTCTTGGAGGGTCTGTTGGACTTCAAGATCTGCCCCGCGGTTGTCAAGTACTTCTTACTTCTGGAAAGCCACCATCGACTCTCCACTTGCTCTCGATCCAGGAAGTCTTTGGATACTTCCGGAATACCGTCTCGTCAAGCCGCTCTTCGCTGAATCCTAACTGACTTGCTCGCGCCTTGGTTCGCGAGCTATCGAGTGGTGGTGGGAGTGGACGATTCTCTGTCGGTGCTCGCCTCGTTTCTGACCACATTCTGACACATCATCCTGCATCAGAATTGTCAGAAGGTATTCGACGATTAGGCTCAGGGCAATTCTGGTTGCAATCCGTCTCATGATTCCGATTCTTGTCGGGATAGACCTCAGAATCAGTAGGGGCAGTCAGAGTAGAGGATTATGGAGGGATTATGCACGGATTATGAGAAGGATTATGGGAGGATTATGGTATTTTGGAGGAGCATAATCCTTCATAATCCTTGCCATAATCCTTGCCCACTCTGACCGCTCTACCCAGCAATTGGATTATGGGCAAGGATTTGATACCCGTCGAACTGGAACGATAATCCATAATCCATAATCCTTCATAATCGGCTCCAGAGTCGATTGTGTGATTATGAAGGATTATGGATTCTGAAGGATTATCCCACGCTTGAACAACTCCAGAATCCTTCCACAATCCGTGCCCATAATCCACACATAATCCTCTACTCTGACTGCCCCTAGTGTCAGAATCAAGTCAGAATTGTCAGAATCTGTATTGGCGTCAGAACCAAGTCAGAATGCGGTCAGGAAGTCGTCTAATCTGGCCACTGATATTGCTGATTGTCCGCTCATTTCGGAATCCTGGATTCGGAGGCTGTTAAAAGCCCAAGTTAAATTCGGTTCAACACATCTCGACTATATTGGAGTATCAATCTGGTCGGAGTGTTCTCTAATGTTCTAGACTATCAGTTACATAAGCTAGGGTATATAAGTAGCGTACATTCACTTGTATTCCCTACGTGTTTGCAGAGCTCAGTCAAACACGATATCTTTTGGTCTAGCTTCCTGGTCCCGAGTAAAGACTCACTGGATTATTTCAACAGACTACTACTCCCCAACTCCCACCATGCAGCAGGCCATCCTCATCCAGTCTCCGAAAACGCCCTTTGTCGTAGGTTCGACTAGGATTCCTGCGCCGGGAAAAGGCGATGTCCTCGTCAAAATCATGTCCGCTGGACTTAACCCTGCGAACTTCAAGCAGCGCGAATATGATGTCGTTTTTACCGAATACCCCGCCGTTGTAGGCAACGACGTAGCTGGGGTGATAGAAGAGCTGGGCGCGAGTGTCGAGGGCTGGAAGAAAGGGGACAGGGTGTAAGTGGTGGAACGCCCGAGCGCTATCACTGGGACTAATGCAGATAATTCAGATTTGCGCAAACGCTCGGTGGTGGATTTCAGCAATTCACGACCATTCCTGCTGCAGTTTTGATTCCAGTGCGTATTCATATGGTTGCTTCAACTTGAAAGTTCAAGCAGGTATTGACCTTGATTCAGATCCCGGAGAACACTACCTTCGACGAGGCAGCCACTTTCCCCATCGCATTCACCACCGCCGCTGTAGGGCTATTTGCTCCAGCGCCGATTGGCCTCGGGCTCAATCCCACATTCTCGTGGGACAAGCCCCAGCAAGGCGAGTCCGCGCTTGTAATTGGTGGCGCTTCATCTGTGGGCCAGTTCGGTGAGCGAAACGGTTCCGGTTCAACCTCGTCGATATTTCTTACAACTGTCCGACAGCAATTCAACTCTTCAAATTTCTCGGGTTTACCCGCATCGTTGCCTACGCATCCAAAGCCCACTTCCACCATCTCAAACGTCTCGGTGCAACTGAATGCATCGACCGCGGCGCCACGCCCCTCGACTCCCTTGCTGCCCATCCGTCGTTTGCGTCCCCAGTAAAGGTGGTATTTGATGTCGGATTCGATTCATCCCTCAATGCCGCATACGATTGTGTGCTGGACGGTGGAAGCATCGTGACCGCTGAGCCGCACAGCAAGCTGGACCGCGATTTGGACCAGAAGAAGGTAACAGTGGTCCACGTGTGGGGATACATGGCTGGTCCCGATGTCACGCCCTTCCAACGCGACGATGTTCCCGGATATTCTGCAACACTGGACCATACAAAGTTCGGCAAGCTGATTATCGAGAATCTGCCCCCGATGTTAGCAAAGGGCATCATCATCGTAGGCGGTTCGCTTGCTTTTTTCCCTCGCCTGCTAAATTGGGGTTTCCTCTAGGCCAACCCGTGCGAAGTGCTGCCCAATGGTGTTTCTGGGATCTTGGGAGGAATGGAGAGATTGGAGAAGGGAAGCGTGAGTGGCGTCAAACTCGTTGCCCACCCGCAAGACCCGATGACGTAGAGGTTCGAACATCTTGTAAATTTCACAGCAACAAGTCCGATGTGCATGTATTATATATCCTGCACCTCATATACACCGAGAAAGCGTGCCATAGTTGTTTCTGAGCGGAAAACTGAAAGCATTGGGAGTCAACGCACTTCCTCGGGCATCTCGGCGTTGTTCAACTGAAAAGATGATTCGAGTATCGGAGAATTCGGAGCAGATGCACTCCGCATCCTCACCAAGCGCCAAAGCAAGCCATTCGATGAGGCGCAAGAGCTTGTCGATGTCCCCAGAAAGGTGCGGAGGCGGAGGCTGAGCGCTGAGCGCTGAGGGCTGAGTTTTTTTTTAAAAATGTCATGCGGAGAAGAGACGCTGAACATTGGGGCCCCTGGGTGTGTTGAGCGATAAGGTTTGCATCCAGTCATGGGTCGAACAGTGGGAAATATCTCCGCGATTTGGTGTCCCAAGGAAAGGGAAGTTATTTCCATAACTGAAGTCCGTCCCTCCTTCGACGTGAAGATATCCATGAATATGAAAAAGTACAGGCAAGTTTTTTTGCCCGGAATTTGGATCGCTGAAAAAGAAAGCAAAGCCAAAAATACACGCCATTGAATGGCTTATTGAGACTCAGCATCCCAGGAAAGACTGGCCCTGAAGAATCGTCGCGGACGCGGGGTTATTGAGACAACCCAAGGGCCCGGCTCCCAATTTGTCGCCACCCCACGGGAATCGAACCCACGGCCCCCCGAGTCTAAACAATCAAACTGCGGGTGATTCTAACCACTAAACTAAAGTGGACGACGAGAGGGCAGCCATTGTGGTGAATGCATGTTCGAGCGCTTGAGCGCCCTTGGCGATGGGTCCCGATAAACAAACAAAGGAACGACAAATTTTGCAAGTTACTGTCCTGCACCGCGTCCCAAGCTCCAGACGGAGTGGAAAGGTGCAAAGCCTCAAATGACAAAACGCGGGCAGCGACGATCTGGCCTAACATGGAAACGCCGTCGGGGATCTTCTTCTTCTTTCCCCAAGTGGTGCATCGCCAAATGCGGTCAAACGCGTGACGGTCACAGTCACTCGCCTCTCTCCCTCTCCCACCATGCCCGCCGCGACCAAGCTTGACCTCGCCTTGCTCGCGTACATTCAATCGCCCCAGTTCTGCGCCATAGAACTCCCCGATCTGCGGCCCTCGACCTGGGAGGCGGTGATAGAGCTGGAAGTGCCCATCGGATGCAAAACTTCGCCATACGACTTGTACGTCGTTCAAGGAAAGAGGATCTTCGATTGGGCGCTCTTCCGCGCTATCAGCAGTACACTCGACTTGTCGAAGCAACCGTTGGGCCTTATCCACGTGAGTCCTGCTCGCCATGTCTTTGTGTCGCAGCCTCAATTGTAGCCCCAGTATATCGAAACTACGGTCTCAACGGACGCGTTGTTGGTCGAGATTTTTAGGGCTGTGGATAACAGGACCCTGCTCCAGAGTGTCTCGGCCATTAGGGATGGATTCTTCGCCTTCATCGGGGCGTATTGGACCCAGGCGGGCGAAAACATCGAGGCGGTGTGCAGGTGGCTCCTCCCACCATTCGAGCCACTCATTGTGATCATCGCTGCATCGTATAAGCCCACGTACGTTGGAATCACCTGCCATTCTGGATAAAAGCCTCAACCCGATGTTTAGCGACGACCAGCCGAAACCTAAAGCAACGCGGGCAGTTACCGAATCCCGCAACAGGGAGCCACACGGTATCTTCGACTTACAAAGTTCATTCAACTGTGAGCCTCACCGCAGCGTGCAGGAGTGCTCTTTCTCCGCAATCTCAGAAAACTACCCGGGCTTTTTACCGATCCAGATTCGTCGTTTGACACCACAGAGTCCTCGGACATCGTACGTGGCTCTTTCTTCTTTTGTGTTTGTCTATTTGAGACCCGATTGCGAACTTCAGGCCTCTCCCGAGGTCCAGCATTCGCCGCTCAAGGAGTCCCCGGCAAGACTCCCGTCACCGCCTGCCGTAAGCTTCATCAGCCATCCGAGACTGTGCCCACTGTTACAGCTGGACCCCAGATTCCTCCCTTTGGTGACTGGGGCCTTAGCCCGCTGCGTCGCGGAGTTTTGCACCATGGCGCGGCGATGTCCCCATCGGTGGTACATGTTGCCTCTTGACGGATTTCTCTCAATTGACAAATGTCCAGCTCGCATTTTGTCTCCCTGATGTTCCGAGTCCCAGTGGGCTGAGCGAAGAGCTGGGAGGAGAACTTGAGGTACCGAACTCTCCAGCCTCACACGTCGTTGAACTGAAACCTGTTTAAACCCTCAAGTTCCAGTCAAATGGCAGCTTGCTCCCAGGCTTCGAAGTTGTCTCGATTCCTCGGCCGATTTTTTGTTCATTCTGACAGTCTTCCAGCCGGATCTGCCTAGACGCATGGTGCGTGGACACCGGTTTTGTCGCGGCGTTTGTTGACTTTGTCCCATTTTCCAGGCTGCTCTGACTTTCCCCGACAGCCAGGCCATGTTAGAAAAGGATCCCTTAGCGTTTCCGGACCAGGTAGTTCTATTTTGATTTCTCATCCATAAAAAAAACTCTGACGACATCCAGAAATTTACGTTCCGGACGCCCCCTCCTGCGGTCAGTTTTTTTTTTTCGCCTACGTGTAGAAAAAACACCAATTCAAGTCCAGGGTCCTCGTGTGTCTTGGGAAGCTCGGCTTAAACTTCCCGCCCGCGTTTCACCAGACCCCAGAGAGGTGCGCAACTTCTCTTTCCCGGGAACTGCTAAAACGGTAATCATTCGTTTCTTTGTTTGCGTCGACAGGGTACGGACCAGGAGGTATGTACTTCCTCCTGCCGGGAAGTCAATCTCATCGTTAGATCCAGGCGATTGCCGGGGAGGCTCCGCTTACAAACGACTTGACAGTGCCTAAACCTTCCACTTCCGTACGCCATCCGCCGCTCGTATCGATGCTATGCTTCATTTTGGTCTAGACGCCGGCAAGCGGAGAGGGAGTTCGTCGGCCGCTGACGCCGGTCAACAGCCCACACACACACCAACGCGACACCGGGCTTGAAGGATGATGGAATGGCCGAATCGTGGTGAGCATTGCCGTTTGTTTTTCTGCCGCCTCATAATGACCCGGTATTGCCGCAGAATCACACCTCCGTTCATGCAGTCCAGTCTCTCAGGATGTCAGTTGAATCAATAAATTCTCGTGATAGGTATCGATCGATCTCTTTTTCATCCGCCTCTCTTACTGACTGACCTTCTGCGGCCGCAAATTCAAGTACAACATCGCTTCCGCGCAATGTCACGTCCAACTCGCGGGTGTTTTCTTCGTTTTTTTCTTCTTTGTAAGCATCAATTTGTTTATGTTTCATCCTGATCACATACTGAGGCAGATCTTTCACGCACGGTGCTCGGTCTTGTTTCAAGCATGATACAGTAATATCACAGGACCTGATTGTAGCATTTGTATGAGATTTCCCACACTGGGAACCAACTAATTGACGAGTCGAATTGAACCGGGATATCCTTGCGCGTGCTAGTTCCCGACTCCCGAGGCCATAGCGTAACAATTTCCTCGTCCGTACCCAAAAAACCATAATTGAACCGTGGGAAGAAAAGAACGCGACCACGTGCTCTGTCCTCCAATACGACAACGCACGGCACACGCACAGCGGGAATGAACGGATATTGCAGCTTCGCGCGCGCGTTCCACTAGATCTCTGCAGGGTGGAAATGGTAATTGAATGCTGTTAAATGCATATACCTAGATCACAAGGTGGGGTCCGAGAGCTTTCTGTCCGAGCCTGCTAAGACCGCTGCTAAGTCCGGTAAAAGCTGCTAGATGAATTATCTCGTGGTGAAAATCGGCTGGTATAGCGAAAGGCTTCTGGGTTTCTGTGGAAGGACAAGAAAAATAAACGCCATTATGTACTAAATGGCTTTGAAACTCCAGCATTCGCAGGGGGACTGCGCCCTGAAGAATCGTCGCGACCACGGGGACACAGCCCAGGCGCCCGGCCCGCATTTATGTTGCCACCTCGCAGGAATCGAACCCGCGATCTCCCGAGTCTAAACAATCAAACTACGGGTGCTTGAACCACTAAACCAAAGTGGACAACGAAAGTGCGTCCGTTTTGTGCAGTACATACTTGAAGGTCAGCGCCAGCCTCGAAATCCGTTCACTCCACTCTTTGTTCCAACTTCCAACCTGCTACACCAGTGCACATCCAGGCTGGCCTAAGTTTTCAGCGAACATATGCCAGGCCTAGCCAACGGATATAAAAAGAATCTTGTTCGAAATATATTGGGTGCAACCAACATTGCGAAACCACACTCTCACTGCTTGACAGAATACTTTGCTTACAATTGTCTTGTATTGTCCGGACCGCCACGGCAAAGTCTGAAAAGGTCCAAAAGCACGTCCGGGGCCGAAGAGGCCAGCCCAAAGTGGAAAAGCCGCACAACACTTGATTTACCCTTTGGGCTTACGAACCCTTCTTGTCTTCTTTCACGATGACCGCCCTCCTCGCCAAACCGACTTCACTCACCCATCCATTCCCGCTCTCTCCGATGACTACATCCCCATCTCGAGTGGGACATATTCTTGCATCTGAAAAAGCAAGATGAGAAGAAAATACTCTGGGCACCCCTCCCTAAAACTTTTCCTGACGAGGAGGAGGAGCTCGAGCTTCCCGGCACTCCCTTCCGGGACTTTGAAGTCATGCGTCCGCTCTCAATGGCCGGAAATACACTATCATAGAGCTCAATTCGCGCAAGCCGATTGACTTGGCGGCGTGTCCGGCACTGGCAATCGATTCGAACAGAAAGGAGGGGCATCCGGACGACGCGCCGTGGACTCAGGCCCCCACGGGTTCGATGCTGGGACCGGACGGCTAACTGGTCGTCAGTTCCAACGGCAATTTGGTTAGGGTCGACGAGGAATGCAGAGTTCGGGCAGCGCTATGAAAGCAGATCATAGAATGCGTCCCTAAACTGCGACATGAACGATTCCACAAAGCTGCTGTCGATACTGTGCTCCCCGTACGTCAACGCAATGCTTAGGGCTCCCGCGGGATCGCGAACGACGTTTAATTTGAACGCAGCGCCAATCACGACGTCACACTGCGCAAACACAGTATTCACGATGTTCCACGAACCCTCCTCGACCACAGGGGCGTCGAAACACCCGAGGTTGGAGAGAGCGAATCCACTCGCCCGCTTGGTACCGACGTGGCTCCGCATATACGGGACGTAGTGCCCAAAGAGGAACCGCAGCATCCCTATGTTCTCGCGAGCTTTCGTCTTCTGTTTGCGCAGCGTAGCGGCATAACGCGCGGCGGCAGTCCAGCTGAACTTGGGGTTTGTCAGCGGATACGTGAAGTGGGCGGATACGCAGTCACAGATCGCGCAGTCTGGTATTCCGGTTACCCCACGGAGGGAGATGGCGACGGCGGACGAGATGGTTTGGTGGCGTGAGTGGCCCGCAAGCATGCGGGATATGATGGTGACGGTAAGAATGTAGAAGGCGGAGGTCAGGGTAGCGCAATGGGTGCGACATTTGGCACAGAACACCGTTAGATCCTGCGCAGGAATGGATAACAACCGCACGTTGGTTCGGAGGCTGCCCGCTTTTGGGACGGGGTTTCCTGACCATGCAGACTGCGCTCGTGTCCAGTATCTCGGAGCGAACAACTTGTACAGCTCGTTAAACATCGTGGATAATGAGGGCCACATGGTGGTGACGGCCTCGATCGGAGGAGAGAGAAAGAGTGTGTCGGAGATTCGAACAAACGATGAAGCATCTGCCACTGTAAGATTTCGCAGTGCACGTAGAAGCGACGTGTGGAAGGCGATAGTGCTCAAACCATCGCCGATGACATGGTGTACGGCGAAGATCACAGTGTTATCTGCTAGCACCTGAATACGCCAGAGCGGGAGATCGGCATCAGTGTTGAACCCCCGGGCAAGCTGGGTCTCCAAGGTAGCCTGGAGGGATTCTGCACCCCCGAACTCGACGACGCGAGACAAATCAATGGTGTGCAGCCTGGTGAAGGAGGGGTTCGAGCTGAACTCGTTTTTGAGCTTGACACACAGCGGAGGGTGCGCTTTTATGACCTCGCGGAGAGCAGGGAAGATGACATCCTCTGTGAGAGGCCGCAGATCTTGGGTGCTGTACCTTGCAGCTGCAACGACGCAGCTGTCAAGCCCCAAAAAATTGCGGGTGGTGTGGAAACGTTCCAACAGGCCTGTGGGCGAGTCAAACAAATCCTTGTACATCGAGAACAAAAATTGAGAGGACATACCAATAAATCTGATATGAGAGTCGGAAGGCATGCCAGTCTTCTGTATTCAGAGATTGTAAGCTGAACTGTATATAGACAACGCCACGCGACTTCCGAACAGCCGTACATCCGGACAGCCGCGAAGCTTCGAAGATTCATGTCAACAGTGGGCTCACTCGCACATCGGAAACACAGTCGTATCGTTATTGAGAAAACCTACCTGAGGCTACGGTAGCTGTGAGTCAGTGAGAGCCACGGCAAAGTTCTTTTGGAGCACAGAGTAGCGAGGTCTGTACTCAAAAGTTTCTCAGTATGTGTCGGTCCATGCCGGATTTCTAATTGAAGGGAATATAGCCAACGTAGTTAGCAGGATTTTGAAGACGTTCGGTTCCAAGCGCTTGTATGCCCTTCCATAAAACTCGTGGATGCAATTCGGTAAAAGTTGAGGATTCACCAAAAGTCGCAGGCGTCACGGTCAGATGCGACTCGGGTTGAAAACAGGTTCCTAGGAGGGAGGTTTCGAAGCAGAAGAAGTTCTCCACTTGCAGTTGAGTCAGTGAAACCCTACTCAGAAAAAAAAAAAAAGACCATTCGGATCAATTGGCTCAAGCCAGTTCTCACGGTTCGATCATTATTAGGCGTTTATCAGCGTTTATCTGCAATGCCGCCGTGGCTATCGGAGCGACCTCGTTGAAAAGAAACCGATGACGGTGACGTAATTGAACATTCCTGTGGCCTCGGTGACAGTCAGCTATGTGCTTATCAAGTTATCGGCTCTAAGGAGATCGTACGTACTAGATTCCAGAACCGAAATTAGAGCAGACATCGTCGACGGCGGAGGCATGCTGCAACATGAAAAATACCCGTCCACCAAGAATACAACCCCGAGTCGAACGGGCTTGCAAATATCCTAAAGGAGAGCTTGCTGTATATACCGACAAGGTGATAAAAATACTAGCTGAGTACATACCATGACGGACAAGATTGCGTGACCGCGACGACACCTTGCCCCGAGCTAATCTTGAACCCAACCTGAAGTTGCCAGATAAACCCGGGAGCGCGGCCGATGATGCGCGGCCGAGGCCAGAAGCGCGGTCAGGACGGGACGGGATGATATAATTGATCCCGAGGTCTTGCCAGAGGTTTACAGCATTGAACTTTGACATTCAACCATGCAAAAGCGGCAAATAGGGACGCCGCAAATGAATCCGTAATATGGGTTGCGTAATCATCGGAACGCCGCTTACTTTGTCAGCAAGGCGGTTGACAAAGCTGCCAGGGAAAAAAATCTAAAACGAGCGCCGATCAAACGCTTGGTACACAAAAAAGGAAATGTCCACGCCGTTCTACCCGACAGCGTCTACACACAATTCAGATGCGCAATCTTGTGTACGAGCAGTTGATAATCGCAATTAGATCAGCCCTGGACTTGGTAAGAACCTATGAGAACCATCGATTGCGTGAGGAGTATAATAAGGACGTGATGAATTAGGGACTCAACTCAACACACCGCCCACATCCCTCCACATCCTTCCTCACTTCACACACACAACAATGTCCGACGCTTTCCTCGCAGCCATCGCTACCCGCCGCACCAACTATGCCATCACTCCCAAGTCGTCCATCTCGGACGAGAAGCTTGAGGCCATCGTCAAGCACTGTGTGCTCCATTCCCCCACTTCTTTCAACACGCAGTCGAGTCGCGCTGTCCTTATCCTCGGCGAAGAGAACACAAAACTATGGAAAATGATCAGCGAATCTGCACTTAAAGGCTTGGAAGGCGAGTTTACCCATTTGATCCTGATAAGAAGCCGACTGATCCCTGCTTCTTTTAGGAGAGATGAAGGCTACCGTCCAGGGCAAGCTGAAAGCATTCGGCGGAGGCTACGGATCCGTCCTGTTCTTTGAGGATCAGGCAGTCATCGATGCTATCACCGCCAAAATCCCCGCGTTAGTCTTCAATTTCTGTTTCTGTATACGGCTTTTCAATTAATCGCCGAAAAAATAGATATACCAAGCAGTTCCCGGTCTGGAGCACCAACGCTACGGGCATGCTGCAGCATGCTGTGTGGACGGCGTTCACGCTGGAGGGTCTGGGAGCCAGTCTGCAGCACAACGGCGCCTACTCGGATGAGCTCGTTGCTGATATCCAGAAAACCTGGGGCCTTCCGTCGACTTGGAAGTCGACAGCGATACTGCCGTTCGGCGTGCCCGCGGCCCCTCCTGCTGAGAAGCAGTTCGGCCCAATCGAGCCCCGCGTTAAGGTCTTCAAAGCATAATTAGTTTAGCATCATGTAACATAGAGCGTAGCATTTTCTTGAAACTTCTGGGTCGATTCATTCCCTTGAACCTCGCAAGTTGAGGGCAGAAGGCGGACAACACAGATAGGTCCTGAAAAGCGCTGGCACCCGATCGGTTTCCGCTTGTGAGAATCACAAGAAAGTTGGACGGATCACAGACCGTCGAACCTTTCCTCATCTTGTCATCAGCGCGGACATCCAGTTGATAGATCGCCGTCTTGATATATCCTCATCGAATCTTGGCAGGGAACAAGCTTTCAGGCGACAAGGAGTCAGAAAAGTACAGTCGCTTGCGAGCGACAAGGGTAAGCTGTTTAAATTAGGCACATGCTACAAGATGGGATGGATATACGTGGTCAGCGGTATACTGGATATGGGATTACAGGTGGCGGATTTTCGATCGGAGCAAAGTTTCTGCAAACGCAAGTCGTCAGCACAGCAGCCTTTGCGGGACTCGAGAGCAGGACTCGAGAGCAACACTTACTTCAACGCTTGCATGTCGACCTGTAAGGCAAGGCAAGGTAACGCGATCAGCGACCGTATGGAATGAGAACCCCTAGAAACTCACGGGAGACTTGAAAGCCATGAAGCAGTGCGCATCGTTGTGCGTGTCGACCCCCTCACACGCGTCGCAAAGGTCGACGGCGCAGTACGCGCAGCGGAACCAGACGCCTTGGATGTTGGACATGCAGCGGTCGCAGATGGCGGCGCTGTGCGACAGCGAGGAGAGGTATGTGTGCGGGTCCATTCCTGGCGGGGGCCCTGCTGGCGGCTTGTATCTGCGGGGAAGGGGTTAGCACGGGGAGCGCCAAGAGAGAACGACGGACAGTCGAGGAAGGAAAGCAAAAGGCGACACCAAGGGCCGCTGAACCGGGCGGGGAAGCTTGAAGAATACGTGACCCGGGTCGTGGAGTGTATACGAGTGTTCTTCGCAGCCAGCACACTGTCGAAGGGTAAGCACAAGCTCTTGATGAAAAGAAGAAGCAAACGCACCAAGCTGAAGCCCTGCGGCTGGGACGGACAATTCGCGCACTGGTAGCGCACTCCGAGTATGTTCTAAAGAGCTCAGATCAGCCCCATCCATCATCCTAAAGCACCGTAACACGACCGACCTTTCCGCACCCATGACAGAAGGTATGATGGTCCTCGTCCGGAGCAAGCCGTGTGCCAGACCCAATGACGGTCCGTGCATACGAAGAGACGACCGAGCTCGCTTTGGAGGGCTTCAGCGGCTGGTGGCCGACGCTCGCAGCATCCCGGCCCTGCCACAAGTGGATCGCTCTTCGACTCGCCGTTTGCACCTGATTAGATCCGTGTCAGTGCGGCGCCTGAGAGGATGGAAGAGTATTATTCACTTCGTCTGTTTCCAGCGGATAAGGGATCTGAAATATCGGTGGGTCAGCTTCGGCCATGAAGACGATGAGGAGATCGGACCTTGATAAGAATATGTGACGAATTATGCCCTCCGTCGGCGGAGTCGAGATTGCCCGGCAGGCCCGCCGATTCGCAGTTAGAGCAGATGTCGACGGCGTCGCAAATGGCGCAATGGAAACGTGCGCCGACGATGTCGAGCATACAGCTGCGGAAGGGTCAGATCCATACAAATTGCGCCGAGGGTGCGGCTTACTGCGCGCATCGGACGCCGGGGTGTGTTAACGCTGCGGAAGGAATGAAGTGAATTTACAATCAAATAATAATACCCATGCGACATACACTTCTCTCCTTCGGGTCCTATGTCGGGGGGAACGGTCTCGAAGTACCCCGAGTCGCTTACTGGCATGTCGGGTACGACGAGGAACGCGTGCGACGGGTGAAGATCATGTACTTGGCTGAATCGCTGTCAGTGTGAGACCGTACATCCACAATGATACACGAACCTATAGCACGCCCGACACAGATTGAACTTCTTGCACGACGCGCACTTGTACCGATGGTGCGTCGTGACCGCCGCACAGGTCGAGCACTGGTGTATCTCGTTCTCGTCTTGTTCTACGGACACCAAAGAATCAGCTCGTGCGCACGACTAACCGGGTAAGATTACGCACCGACGTCCTCCCACCCAAGCGGCCCCCACACCTTCTCGTGATACGCATGCCGCGTCTGCCCCTTCTTCGGCGCCAGCCGCCGCCACTCCAACGCGCGCTGAGCATCGGCGGGCGACGACGGGCTCACGCTGGGCGATGCCGAGCCCGGGGACAGCCCCGCCTCGATCGCATGCGTCACCCCGGCGTGCTCGATGCACCCGGAGCACAGCTCATACCCAGGGTCGACGTCGCGCACTTGCCCCGACGGAACGACGAGCGTCGCCTGGGAGCTGTACGCGCTGGCGGCGGACGCGGAAAGCCCGGGCAAGCGCGGAAGCGGCTTGAAGTGGCGCATCGAGCCGTTGAGCGACTCAGTGCTCCCGCCGACGCCCAGGAACGTCCGCGACGAGGAGGGAGAATTATCGTGTTGATGCGGCCGCGGGGGATACGAGTACTGGTGCTCGTGGGGCACTCGGAACGTGCCTGGCGGTTGCTGATAGTCGGGTTGAGTATGACCGGGTCCAGAGAAGAAGTTCGATGCCCCATGCTCTTGATGAGCGTGGGTGCTCCGCCCCTTTCCTTTCGTCGACTGGCTCGCCGGTTTCTTCTCTCCGCAGATAGAACACACGTAACGAATGGAGTCGAGGAGTACACCGCATTCGGAGCAGTCGGTGAGGGTCTCGGGAGCTGGGGGATTGAGGGGAAGGAACTGCAGCAGTTCTCGGGGAATCGTGTCGGAGGTGTACGGCTGATCTTGCGGATGCTCGTACGCCTCGGGCTGAAACGGGTTTGTCGAAGGCGGGGGACGAGAAGAGACAGCTTGCTGCGCAGCAAGCCAGTTAAGCTGCCGAGAGGAGGGACGCGGTTTCGGTTGAGGCTGGCATTCGTTCATGTTGGGGACGTCTTCGTAGTACACCGAGTCGCGAGTTTGCGATTGCGATGCTGAGGACGACCTATACGAGTAATAGTACTTTCCCCGCGTGTCCTGTTCCAATGCCAAAGCCCCTCCGAGCTCTTCCTCGTCCTCCTCAGGTATCGAGGTGACGCCGGAGGAGATCGACGGCTCGGGCAACGCCCCGAGCCTAGAACGAATGGCTCGTGCGTTTTGGTCCCGCAGCCAAGCGGCCCCTCGATCGTTGTCGTCGAGATTGTCGTGCTGAACGCTCGATGAATCATCCGGGATGGACTCGGCGAGCTTGAGTCGCTCGAAAACAGCGGCAGGGTCTGTATAACGTTCCTCGGCATGTTGTTCATCAGAGAATGGGTCGCTGGGATTGGACTGATAACGCAACGTAGTGCTGGGGCCAAGGGTGGGACCTTGCTCTGACAGTACATCCCAGGATTGCTGTGAGCTCCCCTCGTGAACAGACTGATCTGCACGGGACACCGCATCTCTCGAGCTGACAGTGACTGAGTCGTCGTCGAGATCGACCGTGGGAGCACCAAACGAGAAGGACTGCTGGCTCCCGTTCCGATTCTTGTACTCCTCGAGACTTGCGAGCGATGAGGTATCGGACAGACTGGGTCCGTCATAGTCGACCGATATGTTCACCCGCAGTGTTATTTTGCGATTCCCGAAGCTGCGCCCAGACAAGATAGAAGCTGCAGAGGATAACGGAGGATCGTCGCTGCCTGCCTGGAAATACTGTATAGCCTCGGTCAAGTCCGAGTCCGTTGTGATATCGGTCACTTCGCCGTCGTCGTCCTTGTACGCTATTGCATATGAAGTAGCATAGAGAGAGAAGCACTGTTCGACCTAGGATATTCTGAGATACAAGCAAAAGTGCGATATTACTGAGTCATACCTTGTGCCGCAGGAGATCATAGCTGCAGTTTCGGGCAGAGGAGAACGTTATCCGTTTATTCCAGCGGTCGAATGTGCACTTGACCACGAGCGGGCGGTCAGGACGTCTATCCATGAACGCTGCGCAAAAGATAGTCGACTCCGGAGTCCGAGTTCAGTAAGCGGGGATGAGGCTGTGCCTAGTCACGCACACGCGCCCACGTGCCCTGATCGCCGGACGCGTCGTTTCGCATGCCAGGACTGCGAGGATTGAGGGTATGGAGAGCCGTCGGTTATTTTTTGGTTACTATTTGAATACCCAGTGTCAAGTTTCAAGTCAACGCGACCCTATCTCTCCCGAAGGATCTCATGCCGGCTTACGTAGATGAGTCTGATACAAATGCGGGTTGTTACTCATGGTGCTAATACAGAGCTTACGCTTGCGCAGAGGAAAATTACCGTAAAATTGGCAAGGTTGGATCTACAAGCCAAACTGAAATGGAACAACACAAAAAGTGAAACCCAGCTTCTGTACCAAGAGAAGCATATACTGTAGTTTCGTCGCGAATGCTTATTTCTTATGACAGTGGGCAACCCGTACCCGCACCCGGCTCCCTGGCGTCACCTGAGGGACTCGAACCCCCGACCTTCCCACTTCAGCGTTTAACCTCGGTGGGTGGGCTGACCTTTAACCCATAGTGACGCGGAAGACGAAGACTTTAGGGTATACGCATCCTACGCTGCTGTTGCAGACTCACAGGCTGCAGCATCAAGTGAGTGGGAGATCACAAGGAGCTCATGTACATTTGCGAGTCAGCCGCAGAAAAAATAGTCGTGAAAGACATTATTGAAGGCATCTCCCGGGATTTATGTTCGCTACGACTCGTATTTTCTGCTCGCGACCCTCACTTACTGTCCTATTTCTCGTCTCTTATGGTTTCAGATGCTTTCCGTCCTTCCGCTGAATCATTGCCAGTATCCGCGTCAGGAGTCTCTGAACAAGAAGCATCTCGAAAGACACCTGAAGATACTGATATTAGATCAAATACCATAATCATGGGACCGCACGGACTATGTGGAACATCGACACATCTAAGAGTCAACAGTGTGAGCGGTCCTGATTATGATGTTTGACCTGAGAACGCCGGAAGTTTCATCAACTCCGTTCACTCTGTACAATTACATTCGTAGATGTTCCAGGTCTTTCTCCATTACGCGCCCCATTAAAAATTACTGCATTACCACATTCCTTCTCGTAAAGCACGTCCCGAACCTCATCTACTGAATCACACACTTTCCTCCCCCAGGCTGGAAGTTGGGGTCCTGCAGCTTCGCGAGCCGCGTGTTGAACTTGGCGTTCCCGGCCTGACCCTGCTTGTACAGGCCTGCGGTGAGCTCGTTGCCGGTGGGGACATTCTTGCACAGAATGCTCTGGTGGCGAGCCTGGAACGCCAGGTTATTGCTGGCGGCGGCCTGTTGAATCACGGCGTATTGTTGGAAGTTGTCGGTCAACAAAAAGTCTAGATGAAGATATTGGCCTGAGATCGTCCGTTATCGCACATAAGACTCACCAGCGGGCCCATTCAGAGGTCTAGAGGAACATCAAGTCAGCAAGTCTTGACAGAGGAATAAATGAGAACGACGTACCCCACAATCATATCGTTCTGGAACAGCGCTGCTGCCTTGTCCGCAAAGGCACCTGTAGTGACAACAACTTCGTTCGGGTTCGCGTTGAATTGTTGGAACTGGGAGTAAATTAATCAGAGAATTCTTCAGCACAGAATCTCATTCAATGCTCACAGCGAGCCAGTCAGGAGTCTCCCCGGGGAAAGTGGATACTCGTTGCCCCCCTCCAGTCCATCGGTATTCTGTAAAGAAATTAGGATGAGATTGCCCAAGTTGAGAGGTGTGATTCATCAACTAACCGACAACATCAGTTTGAGCGGGCCGTTGTCCTGGAATTCCAAAGCATGCAAACTGCGCCGCGGCCACGAGACTGTCTGTGAGATAAAAGCCACCGGGCACCTCTGATCATATTTACTGTCTTAGTCTCGTTGTGAAGAAAAAATGCAAAAGGACGTACCGGGACGGTGGTTAAAATCTCCAGTACCACGCGTTTTGGACAGATCAACAGCACCGGCGGCGAGCAGCGCTGCGTTTTTGGCATTCGTTCCGTGGAAGAGGTTGACTGTCCCAGTGCCGGCCGGATGGGTTACCCCACCGATGCGCGCCTCGAGGTCCTGGAGTTCACGCTCCTCGACGTCCTCGAATTCGCGCGCCTCAACCTGTGCGGGAGTGCACTTCGGCAGGTTTGAGGGCTTGGCCGACGCCGCCGGTTTCGCAGCCGATTTGACGGGGAGCGTGGGCTGCGATGCAAGCGAAAGAAAATCAGCAATGAACAATGCAGACATGATTTGGACGCACCTTCTTCGGTGGCACGGCAACTGGTTTCTTTGCGGGCGCGGCGGTTGTGGGCTGTCAAATGAACTCAGCATGAGGAGCAATTTGAGCGGTGCCTTACCTTCTTAGCTGGCGCAGCTACTGGCTTTTTCGCAGGGACGGTGGGCTAAAGTAGATTCGATAAGTCCACGCGGATAAAAGAGAATCTCGGGCAAACCTTATTCACAGGGGCGGCCGGTTTCTTGACGGGGGCTGTGACGGGCTTCTTGACGGGGGCGGCCACGGGCTTCTTCACCGGGGCGGCGACGGGCTGAGAGCGAATAATTTATCTCTCAAGGTCGTCCGCCTTGTGGAAAAGAGGCAAACATACCTTCTTCGCGGCGACTGGCTTGGCTGCAGCAGGCTTTGAAGCAACAGGCTTTGCGGCGACAGGCTGAGGGAAAAAATCAATTTCGAGTGTCACACGCAGAAAAAACGCAAACACACCTTCTTCGCAGCAACAGGCTTCGCTGCAACAGGCTGACATGAAGTCAGATCAGAAGGATATCGAACATAAAAATTCCAATCTCACCTTCTTGGCTGCAACAGGTTTCGCTGCAACAGGCTTTGCTGCGACGGGCTGGGGGACCGTATAATTCAACCGGCATCAACCGCAAAAACGATGCCAACACACCTTCTTTGCTGCCACAGGCTTCGCCGCGACAGGCTGGGGAAACGGGATTGGTTTCGCATGAACAAAGCATCAAGAAGGTCCGGGCCTACCTTCTTTGCCACGACGGGTTTCGGTTTCGCTACGACCGGTTTTTTGACTGGAGCCTTGACCACCGGTTTTTTCGCGGCGACTTTGGCTTTAGCTCGCACTTCGAGGGCCTACAAATAGAATATGAGCAGTGCATACCGACTGCAAGCCATCCTCACCCACCAGTTCATCACCAGCAATACCGTTTGGAACGGGGGCCGCGAACGTATCGAGGGAGAGGACGAGAGCAAAAACGATAGACAAGGGAATACGCATGACGGGCGATTAAAGTAAAGTGGATCAACCAAAGAAGGCGCTTAGAGAAGAAGGGAAAAGAGTGAACAGAAAGGGAAAGAAAAAAAGTGGCGCAGCCAGGCGAAAGAAAGGAATGAATACATGGAGGAGTTAGCGTCGCGTTTTAAAGGTGAAGTTGTAACTGTAAACCCATTTATCTCGGAACACCGAGTGCTGTCTCGTAACGATAGTTTCGACGCTGATATCATTCATTGTTTCGAATTCACCCACACAGCCGCCGCTCAGCGAGCGCTTAAGCTAGGAACGAACGAGATTCGAGAAGCCTGGAGTCTGACCAAGTGTGGCACTAAGTTGGTGGATTCGTTTGACCAGAAAACCATGAGTGGACTTGAAGGAAGGCAGTCTTGAAAAGGTTCGGTGCGGCTGCCAGGAGTCGTTGCTGAGGATTGGAGAAAAGCCGGTGGAACGAGAGAGAGGAACGGCATGTGGCTGTACATTCCATCAATCTTTATGGAGAAAGGTTACTTCTCCGCAGAGCCCGGGCAAGCCACACGTCTACTCATATCTATGTGGTTGCATCAGGTTTCATCTTGTTTCATTCATTGTTCATTCACCTATCGCCTGCTATCAAAAGTAAGTGCATATATCGCCGATTGTTGCCCGCTGAAGGCCGGTGCCTAATCAACCGTCGGATCGTCTAGAGCGATTCAGAGTGACGACGGATGGGAAATATATTATCCTGAGTCCCTTGACCGGAAACTTAGCAGCTGCGGCACTCTCGGCCGTTGAACGCCGGCGCACAGTGTAAACGCTCTGAGTGTGTCTAACTACTTAAATTATTGATAACAATAATCCGAGCCAGGTCGTCGTGTAGCCCATAATCGGCGGTCGTGGGCGCTGATCCATTGGGTACAAACAAGGCTCACTCGATTTTCGACTCGAATATGGAGCAGGACTACCACAATTTTGATTGAGAAGGTAAAAACACAGTAATTTCGAGGCTCGAAAAACTAAGGTCCGTTACCCCTCGAGAGGATAGTGAATATCTGACAGCCATTCATATTCGCACGCAAAAACACTGACCGACTCCATTCCGGCGCAGCACTTGGGAAGAAGTGCTCTATCCTATCACATTTTGCAGCCAAACGATGTCAACAGATTGGGAATATAGGTTAGCTAAGGCTTCACGCCCTCGTGGTCTTTCTATAAAAGTCTGGCTTCTCCTCTGCAAATCCACCGTTGCCGCGTCTCAAAAAGGTACGTCTGAGAATTCCAAATTTAGTGTCTTGAGAAGTTTTCCGGGCATCTTCGAGAGCAATGTTCGATGCTATTTCGCGGTGCCGCCGAGCTCCGTGGACTAGACGTCAACGATGTCGTTCGCACAGATTCTAGCGTAGCTTCGGAAAATACGTAAGTTTTCCCACGGTTCAAAACTGGTTCAAACTCATACCAAGTAACCGGTCCGCGAGAACCCATGCCGCTCGCTACAAACTCACCTCAAGAGCAATTTCAGTTTGCTCAAGCAACGATGGCTTGACTCAGCGAAGAGGATCACGGGTCTGTATTATCAACCCATTACCAAGCCGATGGTGATATGTTAAGATCGCGAAGTCGCGTCGAGGAATTTACAGAGGTAGCTCGGGGAGCATTACTGATATGCCCGACCTATGCGATCTCCGCCATAAAGTCATAATATCTCGCAGCCTGTTGCCATTCCAATCGTTCCCTTGACTGAAGGTCAGTGTCTCCTTTTTATCGAGAAGTATGGATCAAATCAACGAGATTTCGCCACACAGAGATGTCCGGCGAGTCCGAAGCCCCAAAGATCACCCTTCACTGGCTTGGAAAATTGCGCTCGCAGCGTATTGTATGGCTTCTCGAGGAACTGAACATACCCTACGAAATCAAAATTCACAAACGGGATCCCAAAACGCACCTCGCTACCGCGGATTTGAAAGAGGCTCATCCCCTGGGCAAGTCCCCCGTACTCACAGTCGGGGACCACGCTCTCGCAGAGTCGGGCTTAATTGTGGAGTACCTGAGCGATCACTTTGGTCCGACTTTGATCCCGACCAAGTGGAAGGCTGGCAGTGGGTGCGAAGGGAGGGTCGGCGGTGAGACTGAAGCATACCTGCGCCATCGATTTTTCATGCACTACAGTCTTAAACTAGGAAGCGCAACATCAAACTTGGCAGGCATTAATCTTAGCGAATTCTTGCCGAAAAGACTCATCCTAAATTGTGAAAAGGACCGTCGGGATACTAAATCCATGCGACAACTTAAACCTAGGTGTCACAGTGCTTAGTTGT